TTGCAGGTAATAACCTGTTTCTCAAGACACCTTACTATTCTTCTAAGTGCTTATCTTCTTAGCGGCTCAAATTGTTCTTAGTTCTTCTAATTCCTCTCATTGCCCCTCGGTTTTCTCCAGTTATTTGCAACTTTTTGCACTCCCCGTAAATTTCCAGTCTCCCTGTCACCATTCCATTCAAGTTTTCGTTACGTATCCCTAAAGCTATTTCCACATGCTTGGTGTTACTCTTTATTTATCGGTTTTACTATCTCCTAGTGATTCAAAGTTTTACGCCGTAGTTCGTATTCGTCACGCAGCTTTAATTTTTGTGGGTTACAAACTTCCACTATCGCTCGTATTTCCCGTAATAGTTGTTTGTAAGTCATAATCGAATAATACCAAAAAGCTTTAACTGGTTTTTTAAAAAAGTTCATGCGTCTTTCTTTTCATGTACCATAGTCTCACGCAGGGTATTCCATAAACAGTACAGGCCCTCCATTCAATTCCCGGTGACTGATATAAATGCGTTCGCGCTACCACGCTCTGCACACCCTCCACTAAATTACAGGTGTTTCACTTCAATTCATTCGCTGCTTAATCTAATTTCTTCTTTATCACCTCGACTTGCTCTCAGTTATTAGTCTAGAAGCTAGCCCATGTCACGTGTGCAGTGCGGAGATTTGTTAAGCATCTATTGGTGAATTTAAAAAAATTTGGTCACATAGTCCAAAACATGGTAGTTTGCTCACCATATTTAAAAATGGCCCCCATGTGGCTAGGTTTTTTTTAAGTATATATCCTGACACAATGGTTCAACTTTAATTTTTTAAAGAAAGTTTTAATGATGTTTTAAGTGCAAACAAGTTCTGTAATTAGAAATTATTTGGTAAATCCAAGTTTTTAAACATGCAGGCAACGAAGGCTTGTTGATTTTGTTGTAATTACTTTTGATAAATTTCATTAAATTACCCAGTGATCTAATTTGTGCCTGTAAGGTAGAAACCCATCTATGGCGTTCTTCAATTGATAAAATGGCCCCCCCCCCCCCCAAATGAATCTTTCTTGCACAATATTGAGAAAATCCTAAATTCAGTGATTTCTACTCAGGAATATCGATGTAGAAAGCACAATCCGGTAGGTAATAATGAAGATGAAAGTAAGCCAGAAGTAAGAAGCCTAAAAATGTAAAAAGTAAATGCGTAATTTTTGTTAACATACCGAAAAACGGCCTTAGAACTTGTAAAATACATCTGCAAGTGCGTCATCGAAGTGTCAAAATAACAAGAGAAAACTTCCCTTAAACTTATACAGCTTCAATAAAAATCCCAAAATAGCTGACAAAAATTATCGAGTAGGTAACTGTTCTGGCATGTTTTTGTCTGCTCGTCTTTGTAAAAAGACGTGCGTGCGCCGAAAGAAATTAAAGAAATCTCTGCACGATCTCCGTCGGCAAAACCAAGAACTATGTGAAAGAAACATATACCAAGAAGAATAACAAATTTACTACAGGAACATTTTACATCTGAACTAGTGGATTACGTAAGGATATAAAAATTATAATAATAATGGGTACATATAGGAATGACGGTATTTTAATTCCACAAGTGAAAGAAGCATTGTGTGGGACGATATATTTAAATAAAGAATCTAGCAACGTGCCGGCCATTTTTAAATATAGCGACCAACGACCATGATCAATGTTCTGTAAGTTCCTATAGGTGTTTAATAAAGGTTCCCTTCAAGTTTCTCTCACACTTCTCTGGAGTTTCTACCAAATTTCTTCTCAATTTTATCTCTTTTCGAGTAGGTACCTAATAAATCTTCTCATCAAAATTCGTTTCACTTTCACCAAAATTCCAAACGGTTAATTAACAAATTTGTAATTAACACCTGATGGAATTCTAGGTACGAAAATAAATGAAAACATGAAAACTACTGTCAGGGTCGTAATTCGGGTTCGATTAATCGCAAAAGGAACCATTTACAGATTAAATAAGTTTATTTGATTGAAAAAAAACAGGCACTCAGGACCAACGGCCATGTACCACACACATACAAACGACCGATAGACCATTAATTAAAGCAAATCAATTCGTGTCAATAACCCAAGATCTTTGGTCACTTTGAAACTGACGCACAAAAACAATCGACACCAACACTGCTTCACGAACTCTACTTTACTTTCACTTAAAACTTGATTTTAACGAACTGCCTTTCTTATAGATTTAATTAGCGTACGCAGCGATAAAAAAGCTTTTTACATACCACCGGAGAAAGGCATGTGATAAACTTTTACAAATACTACGCAAATAATTGCCAGATGATTAAACAAGGCCATTATTTTTACAAAATCTCTAAAGAACATTCACATTTAAAGTTAAAATAAATTTGAAATCAACATACAGGATGTCTCATCGTTACTGTAGGTACAGATGCCAAACTAGATGCCCGCATGGGGTTATTATTATATAAAAAGAACACATTGGTGTGCGCGAGATTTTAAATTGATTTTAGTAGTTAAAATGGTTTCCATGTTTCTACGAGGTTAAATCTGGAGTTGAGTTTTTGCGAGTTGTGAGAAAATGTGACGAAGGACCAGTTGAGTGCGTGTGAAAGTTGGAAGCGCTAGACTGTCGTGACATAAAACGAAATTAATTAGAAACACGTGACAGTCCTTCTGAATTAGACCATCTCGTTAGGCCGGTGCTGCGTAGGGTTGTTTTTTTTTCAAAATCTGTGTGAATTTTCCGTTAATGTAGGTTCGATTTGTCTGACTTTCGGGGATGGATGGGGCCGGCGGGATTCCGGGAACTTTCCCGGTGGGCCGGTAGGATCCATGAGCGCCTTGTGGCTGGCAGCGTCACTCAAATGAAAACACAAAACAGAGATAGACCCAGGCTACGCCGCCACTTGCAAAGAAGTAAGTAATTTAATTAATATTCTATGGTGACGAGTGCAAATAAAAAATTATCAAAGCGCGGGCCTTACAAAACAATCAAACCAAAACTGTAGAAGAAGATAGGAAAAATCACCAAGTTAGTACAACACACTTCAGGTTGGCGCCCAGATGTCGCTGACCGCATCATGTAGCTCCGTCCCTAAAGTTTTTAATTACACGACACCGGTAGGTACACACCTTGTCTTCCTCCAAGCGTTTTTCTACAGACTCGCATTTGCTGCCAGCCAGCTAGCCAGCCGGCTCAAGTGAGATTAAAAGCTAAGAATGAGTAAATTGGAAGATATTTGATAATTTCTATGTAAGACTCTTAAAATCAAGCCATTGAATCGATTAAATGTAGATTTTTAGAAAGTATCCAGATATATGTACGGATCTTCCCTTTTTAAATTCACATAATTTTCCTGATATTAAGAATGGAGTATTACCCAATAATCTACTGGAAAAACGTTAGGAAAAAATATTACCATTTAATGATCTGGCCACGCATGCTCGAATACGAGAAAAAAGTTTAAGATCCTGTCGGGGGCAAACAGAATTGGGATTTCTTGAAAAAAATGTATAAAAAATGTCGACCGTCTACCGCATTGCTCTAAAATTGCCGTTTGTGGTGTGTCAAAACTGTTCTAGATGCAGTTATTACCAGTAGAATTTATATCAAGAAACATTGTTGCGAATATTCCAGAAATCCCTAAGCGCCATGAAAGAAGAAGGATCGGCGATAAAGAGCGAAGACAGATGTGACGCAATCTTTCCGGGAAATACGACGTGTTTTGTTCGAGAGCATTTTAGAATACTCGGAAACCTTTGAGAAAAAGCGACGTTTGCTATATAAACAAATTGAACTGCGTTTCGGTCAGTTCCAATGTCAACGCCGAAGTAAAAGATAGTTCGCGCTTATAATTACTGTTATAAATTAATCAATTTTAGAACTTATAAATTAATTAATTGATTAAATAATAAATTACATAGGTACTTAAATTTACGTTCCTATATTCGGCCCTCGCTAATGCCTATGAATACCTGTTAACTGATTCTGAAATGTATAAAAAATCGATTAAGGAACAGATTGTGTAACAATAATCTAGAAGCATTTATGTTGGGAAAGAATTATCAAGAATCAGAGTTAGAAAAAACATTAATATTTTAAAGTTAGGGCGCATTGAGTACTCCCTCCCTCACCCGCTAAGTGGTCCGATAGGTAGGTATATTTCATGAACCGGTTTATGGTTCCCCATCCACCCCTGCTGAGTGACTTCTCTGGAGATATCATTGAATAAAAGAAATGAATGCTATTGGTTGAACAGCGTAGCTTTAAAAAATGAAATTAAAGTCGTTCGGAGAAGAGCCGTAGGGAGAATTCGTGAAAAGGTTAAGACGAATCATAGTCATACGCGCGATACCGCTGGAAAAATACGCGTCAAGACATGATCGCTTTCGCGCCGAGCGGATCACCCGCATCGATCTGTGTGGAGTGGTTAATAAGTTGGTGAAGACATTCAATTCCAGCTCCCGGAAAATTAGTACGCGCGTCCTAAGTGCGTGAGAATTTAAGGCGATCATCCCATAAACTCCCAAGGGTGATTTTGGATCGTGAAGGAACTTACTGGAATGTCAGTGCCAATTGAACCCTTTGGTCCTGAACTCGAAAAGTAGACTGCATTACGTAAGTCCGGCGTCCTCCTGCGGTTATTGTTTTGGATGACATTCTCGTCTACCGACGGATTGCGTAATTTTGTGCAATCGTAAGAAATTTCGAAAAGGTCAAACCGCATCCCTTCACGGTTGAGCATTGATTTATTTGGACCATTGCCTTCGAGATCCAATAATGGAACATGGACTTTCATGGTTGAAGATACACCTTCAAGATTGGTTGAACTCTTTGTTACCTTGCAGCAAGTTTTATTATAATGACCACAAACTTATTATATTAGAACTTGATATTTCGATATTGGCACTCCAATTTCCAAGGAGCTAAAGATTTTGAGGGGTTGGTTGACATTACATGACATCAATAAAGTAGTAAAGTTACATCGACATTATAAAGGTGAAACCGACTGAGTAACGTGCTTTGTGAGAATTTTATTATTCGAACATTGGTTTGGCTAACAGTACTATACCATTTATCACACTGTGGATACCTACACCCCATTAGAAAAGACACTAGCAACCTTTAAACATATACATGCTCATAATGCAATGCACAATCAGCAATTCCATAAGTAAATGCGCAGGGGTCCGTTTCATTAGCGAAATTCGTCGCGCAAAATTGGATCATCTCATCTGTTGCCTTTTCAATATCCTTTACCAATTCGTCCTTGTTAAAGGTTCCATCCTGGTTGATGAACTTGAAAGACTTGAACAAGCAGTATATATAGCACTTGACATTTGGCGAGACGGCACGAGTCTGCAACTGGAAGAAGTTGTCCACTTCCTCTTGCGTGGCACCAGACGATTGCACACAGTCGGGATACTCCTTCGCGGCCTTCGCCGACCATTTGTCGAGTATCTCTCGGGTCGTTTTCTGAAAGAGCGGTTTTTTGTGCAATTGTGCGGATCAAGTGGGCCTTACCTTGGAGTCAAACGCGAAAACGGCGTAGCTGACCACTGACACTACCAGTAGAACCTTCCAAGACATTTTTGACGAGGCAAATGCTAATCATATTTTTCCTTTTATACGCTCCTCTCAAGGCTAAGAGGAGATAATGGGTCGTAAATGAGAAAAAATAATGTAATAAATGTACCTAATAATAAAAAAATTATATATGCCAGACTCATCGGCCGATTCGTAAATGTTTATAGCCTGAGATTGGTTTTCTGAACAAGAGAGCGTCGAGTTTCAAAGCTCTCATGAATTCAACCCCTAAAAATACTCATGGTGTAAGAAAAAGGCTGAGGTTTCAGTTCCTCCAGGAGGGTCAATGACGCCAACGGTTAGCAGATTTCACATTGCTATGCAAAATATTTCCATAAACAACACATTTCGATGCATTAACCATGATTATATACATGATTATGTCGTGTAAAGGCACAAATAAAAAATACGCCACCTTGTACCATATCGTCGTAGTAGAATGTCCAAAATTTTGAACAAATTTGCAACAAGAACTGTAGAAGAACGATGACGGGTGCTGCTGTACTCAAAACATTACATTCTCTATACGGTCCTTTGACCCTTTTCCATTTTTGTTCTTCCCACATTCCTTTTGTCTTCATTATCGTTGTCAAACATTCTTTCACCAATTCCTCATCGCCGTCACCCCTCCCCCTTTTCCTGCGCGTTTTCCCCATTATTTCCTTGCATCTGGTACCCTAACTATTTAATTTCGTTTACCTTTTCTATCCTTTCCTCCCCCCATTTCCATTCTATCTCTCTTTTCCTTTCCCCCTCCTCTTTTCTACGTTTAGCTCCAATCCTTTCCATTCCCATAGTACATTTCCATTCTTCCCATCGTTTCCTTTATCTGTTCCTGTTCCTCCTTTTCCATTTTTCTTTCTAATCTTTCGTTCAGTATCATTGCATAAATTCTATACGCCACCGTAGTCATTAAGTCATAGGGCTTAGCAAAATGAAACTGAATTTTGTACAGAAAGCAAGCCACTTTTCCCAGTAATACTAGGGACCAATATGAATGATTTCGTCCGAGGAAATGAAAATTTTACTCACTGTACCTAATTCAAAATGGCGGACGTTTTCTAAAATGGCGACTGCATAATTTCAAAAATTTGTAGACCCAAAACGGTTGCACCGATTTTAGTGATTGGGGTGTCAATCAATTCGTATTGACACCTGTAATCAAAAGAAAAAAATTATGTTTAAAAAATTAAAGATGGCGTCTGAATATAAAGAAAATTATTGTGAAATTTTCTAATTAATTTCTTCGTTCTAATGAAAATTACTACTAAATATCCTATAATATGTTCACGTATTTTCTCATTTAAATAAAAGCTGACAATATTACCTACAAACCAAAAAATAATTGTTGACAATCCGTCCAGTAGTTTTTGCACTATACGAATTATAAGAGAAGCGTGTGGTTTTGAAAGCCGTCACTACACGCGATGTGGCGCCTCGTACAATCAAAATGAGTGCACTGATTTCAGTAATTTACATCACAGACAATATGTATTTATCTATATATCTTGGTATTTATTTCCTGTATTATATGACGTTTGTGAAAAACGCCTACTTATAGGTGTTAGTTGGGCTCGAACATAAAGGGTTTCGTACCGTTACACACACAATGGTTTATTTATTTTAGTCACAATTTACTAGGCCCTGTTACAAAAAAACAACACTGCCGGCCCCCCCCATTTCTTTATTTTTAAACGTAAAAAACAGAAAAATTATTCGTGCAGATCTAAATTAACGAAATGTAAATTATTGTTACTCTTTATCTTCGTCGTCCGATGTGGTTGTACTGAAAGAAGAGAAAATTCATATGGAATCAGAACAAAGTAGTAAACAAATTATAGTGATATACCTTTCGTTTTTGCAGCTGCATTTGCATATGCTGCATTGCACCCACCCGCCGACACGTGCAGCGCATTGTTTCGCATCCTTTTTTTACAGTCGCAGTGGTCTAAGTATGATATCTCCTGCCATATCTCCAGCTCCAGCTTCAGACCACTGCGTTACCCAACTACCATTAGATGACTTCCAAGCCCAAGAGAATGGCAATTGCACAGAGGCAGCATCAAGAACAAGGGCATTTCCCCATAAGTGACGGAGCGTGTGTTTCTGTAATGCTTCGATTGATGTAGTGTTCCATCGGTCTTTAAACGTGTTGTATGATGAGGATTGGGAATTAAAGAAAATCTTTTTTAAACACGTTTTTTTATTACTATTGCGGCTATCGATTTCGACCTTATCAGGTCATCTTCAGGCCGAGCGTCATTTGGTGAAGTGATGATGCATGTAATATTTTAACGATGTTATATATTATATTAGTTGTCAGGAATGAAAAATTAAGTGTAATAAAAGTGAGGTTGTGTATAAGTCAAGTCATACACTTTTATTACCTACACTTCATTTTTCATTCCTGACAACTAATATAATATACACAACATCGTCAAAATATTACATGCATCATCACTTCACCAAATGACGCTCGACCTGAAGATGACCTGATAAGGTCGAAATCGATAGCCGCAATAGTAATAAAAAACGTGTTTAAAAAAGATTTTCTTTAATTCCCAATCCTCTTCTGTAATGCTGCCAACGAGGGGTAAACCGCAACCCAAATTTTGTACACTGATTTCCTATAAATATTAGATTTCCTCTGAGTTCCTTCGAGTTCTTCAGAGTTCATTTGATTTCTTCGGAGTTTCCCTGATTTCCTCCGAGTTCCTCCAACTTCCACGAAATACCTCTGATTTCCTTGGAGTTCCCTCGATTTTCTTTTGGAGTTCCTGTGAGTTCCTCTGATTTTTTAAAGTTTTTTAATTATTTCATTGTTATTCCGTTGATTTAACAATTTCCTGGTAAGTAAAACCCGAGGTAAAACCATAAAAAAAATATAAAAGTGTCAAGTGTCAAGTTAAAAAGTAATCGTAAACGATTTACATAAAGCGCATTTCCACTTGCATTCATTTCCCATTTGTAAGATGCAACTTCTGTAAAATCGTAAAAATCCGGCCACAAATATGAAAGATAGCGTTGCACATGGGCAATCCATTGTTGACGTGCTACTTCAATTTCAGTTTATGAGAAGAATTTCATTTCAATGTTTTTCTAAATAAGAAAGTTGGAACTGCGCATGCGCAAACCTAAATTTTAAAACTAATGTTAGATTTTCCTTTGTTCCAAGCGCCTAAGTATCAAATTTCACTTAAATAGTTTCCATAGATAAAAAAGTTGGCACTGCGCATGCGCAAAATAAAATTTTGAAACTGGCGCTAGATTTTCCTTTATTCCAAGTGCCTATGTATCACATTTAAATTCTTCCATAAATAAAAAAGTTGGCACTGCGCATGCGCAAAGCCAAATTTTGAAATTGGCGTTTGATTTTCCTTTATTCGAAGTGCTTATGTATCAAATTTCGTTTAAATTCTTCCATAAATAAAAAGTTGGCACTGCGCATGCGCAAAACCAAATTTTGAAATTGGCGTTTGATTTTCCTTTATTCCAAGTGCCTATGTATCAAATTTCATTCAAATACTTTTATAAGTAAAAAGTTTGCAATTCGGTTTATAAATGGTCGAGATGCGAAATGGGCACTGTGAATTCGATTCAACTTTTGGCATTGCGTATTATATGGCTAAATCTATGCCCATATTGAATTTCATGCAATTCAGTTCATAACTAACGGAGATGTAAAAGCGATAGAAAATTTCTAAACAAAGTTATCGTTCACACGGACAGATAGATGGACAGACAGACAAAGGAACAGACGGAGAGACCAATCGGCAGGCGACAGATAGCAATGCAAAATTATAAACGATCTCTAGGATCGTTAATAAACGGCAAAAGTGTAAAATTATAGGAACATGTAAAAAAACGGTTTTTTGTTTTTTTACAATAACTTTTTTTGTAAGCGGTACAGAAAAAATTCCTTCCTTGGTACAAGACTCGACACCATAACGAACCAAATAGCGAAAAAAGTAGAACAATAGCTCTTAAGATAAAGAACTAGTAGCGTCGCAAAGTTAGCGGACGGACGGACGGATAAAGACACGACCTTAGACGAAACACTATTTTATATTTTAATAGACCTATTTGCAATGAGAAAAACTCATTATTAAATGAGAAAAATACCATAAACAAATAAAAAAATTAGTTAAGACCAAATTAAATAATAAAATGCAGCACGAGTTCCTTTGATTTCTTTAGAGTTCCCTTGATTTCCTCGGAGTTCCTGTGATTTCCTTGGAATTCCTCCTGAATACACATGGAATTCCTTGGAATTCTTAGCTTTCCTAGGAGTTCCTCCGGAATTCCTATGATTTCCCATAGATTTCCTCAAACGTGTACACTGATATCCCATCGCGGTTTACCCCTCGGCTGCCAATGTTGGTGGGATGCTGGTTATCAATTTATTTTTGATAGCAACGAACCACGAGATCATCTGCGCTCAAGATCGCAAGAAGTTTTGAATCCTGCATAGTAAGTGCATAAGATTCTATACGATGAATCGTATTAGCGCAGTTACCACATTCTGGAGGGATTCATTAAACTGCTTTGGTTTCGTGCAAAGGAAACATAACTCTTCTTTTGTGGAAGCTAAAGGTTCTGAAAGGCTCGAGTTGCCCCTGAGAAGCTATAGCTTCTGTGTTTGAAGAACTAAAAAAATTAAATTACATTTTGCCGTGTGGTGAACCAATTGCTAAGTTGAACCAATGTGATGGCATTCTGCAGGCTTTAATTACTATTTAAGCCAAGTGGCACAAAAAAATGCTAGGCAAGATATAAGGCTGAAAGTTTAGACCGCATAAAGAAGAATTTAAAAAAGGGCAGTGACAGCAGCATAGGGCCTTTAAATTCATCACGGGCAACTCGAGCCTTTCAGAACCTTTAGCTTCCACAAAAGAAGAGTTATGTTAGGGTGGATCAACGATTGCGCGGAGTAACTTAATGCCTTGAAGATAAGATTTTTCGACAGAGTGCTTTTGTATTATGATACGATTGAATATTCTCCACA